GTTGAACTTCATGAGGTTTCTCACCGCCCAGTCCTCCAGTCTGTCCAGGTCCCTCTGGAAGGCAGCACAGCCCTCAGGGCTATCAGCTACTCCACCCAGTTTGGTATCATGAGCAAACTTGCTGAGGGGGCAACTCCGTCCCTTTATCCAGGTTGTTGATGAATAAATGAACAGGACTGGACCGAGGACCGACCCCTGGGGGACACCGCTAACTACAGGCCTCCAGCTGGACTCTGCACTGCTGATCACAACCCTCTGAGCTCTGCCCTGCAGCCAGTTCTCAATCCACCTCACTGTCTACTCACCTATCCCACACCTTCAGAGCTTGCCCAGGTGAATGTTGTGAGGTACGGTGTCAAAAGCCTTGCTCAGGTCCAGATAGATGACATCCACCGCTCTGCCCTCATCTATCCAGCCTGTCATTCCATTGTAGAAGGCTATCAGGTTAGTCAAGCATTATTTCCCTTTGGTGAATCCATGCTGGCTACTCATCTTCTTGTCCTCCACACGCTTGGAGACATCATCCAGGATAGCTGTTCCATCACTTTTCCAGGGATGGAGGTGATGCTGACTAGCCTGTAGTCTCCTTCTTGCCCTTTTGAAGACTGGCGTGACATAGGCTTTCTTCCAGTCATCAGGCACCTCCCTTGTTCTCCAGGATCTTTAAAGGATGACGGAGAGCAGCTTTGCAATAACATTCGCCAGTTCCCGCAGCACTCCTATCAGGGACCATGTGCATCCCATCAGGGTCCATGGATTTTTGGGTATCAAGTTTCCCTAAGGGCTCTCTGACCCAATCTTCCTCTACCCAGGGCAAGTCTTCCTCTCTCCAGGCTTCTTCTCTTGTCCCTCGGGTCTGGGATTCTAGAGGGCTGCCCCTGGCAAACACTGAAGCAAAGGTGGCATTCAGTAACTCTGTTTTCTCCGTGTTTCTGTTGTTAATAGGTTAATTTGAGAAGTTCTTATTATTTTTAACATCCCTTGCCAGATTTAATTCCAAATGTGCCTTAGCTTTCCTGGTCACATCCCTGCATTCCCTGACAGGTTCCTATAGTCCTCCCAAGGGGCCTTTCCTTTCTTCCATGTTCTGTATACTGCCTTCTTCTGCTTGAGTTTTGCCAGGAGCTCCTTGCTCATCCTCACAGGCCTCCTGCCCCCACACCTGGCTTCCCACTCATAGGGATGCACCGTTGCTGAGTGTGGAGGAAGTGCTGCTTGAAAACTAACCAGCTCTCTTGGGCTCCCCTTCCTTCTCAGGCCCTAGCCCATTGGAATTCTTCCCAGCAGGTCTCTGAAGAGGCTAAAGTTGGCCCTCCTGAAGGCCATGATATCAAGGCCACTTACAGCCAGGCTTCCTCCTCTTTGGATCCTGAACTCTACCAACTCATGATCTCTGCAGCCAAGGCTACCCCCCACCTTCACATCTCCAGCAAGTCTCTATTTGTTAGTACGAGGTCCAGTAGCCCACCTCTCCTCATTGGCTCCTCCACAGCCTGTGCCAAAAAGTTGTCATCAACACACTGTGGAAACCTCCAGGGCTGTTTGTGCCTCRCTGWGTCATCTTTCCAGCTGGTATCAGGGCGGTTGAAGTTCCCCATGAAGTCCTCCATGAGCCCCCCCCATGAGGGCCAGTGACTGCGACGTAACTTCTGTCTGTCTGTAGAAGGCCTCATCAACCTCCTCCTGATCTGGTGGCCTGCAGCAAACACCTGCCACAGTCTCCCAACATTAGCCTGCCCTCCAGCCCTTACCCACAAGCTCTCAGCTCACTCACCATCCACTCCCAGGCTGAGCTCCATGCATTCCAGCTGCTCTCTCACATAAAGAGCAACTCCACCACCTCACCTTCCCAGCCTGTCCTTCCTAAAAAGCACATAGCTTTCCATGACAGCTCTCCAGTCATGTGAGCTATCCCATTATCTCTCTGTAACTCCAATGGGATCATGATGCTGGGACCTCACACTGATCTCAAGTTCCTCCTGTTTATTCCTCATGCTGCTTGCATTGGCATACAGGCATTTAAGAGAAGTATTTGAGCCTGCAGGTTCCCCGAGAAGGGTGAAAGGGGACCCTCTATAATCATATTCTAGACTCACTTCCCCACTACCATAGTCCCAATGGACGCCTTCTGACTTTGGCTGCATGACATTGACTGCCCTGTCCATGTAACACTCCCCTTTCCCATTCTTGTTTAGTTTAAAGCCTCCTAAGGCATGTGCTGCCCCTCTTGCTGAAGTGGCTCTCATGATTCCCCACCACCTGGTGGTCCTCAGACAGAGTCCCATGGTCATGGAAATCAAAACCCTGCTGCCAAGACCAGTGGCGCAGGCAGTATTTAACCTGTAATATCTGCCTTTTCCTCCTCATATCCATTCACCTCATTGGCAGCATAGAGGAGAACACAACCTGGGCTCCCAGGCCTTTGATGGCCATCTCTAGGGCCCTGAAATTGATGTTTCTCAGTTTCCCTTTGGCATCATTAGTGTCCACATGAAACAGTAACAGGGGATAATAGTCAGACACCTGGACAAGCCTTGGTAACAGATGGAACAACTCTCTGCAACATCCCTTATTTGAGTCCTTGGAAGGCAASAGACCTCTCTGGATAAGGGGTCTGCAGATCGGTCTCTTCGGGCCCTGCAGCAGGGAGTCACCCACGATGATCACTCACCGCTTCTTCCAGGTGTTCCTTCTCCCCTTAGGGGCAGCAGCCTTAAGGCACGGACTTGAATGCCTCTCTCCAGACAACCCCCTAGGTGGGCCTTGGTCCTTAACCTCATTTGTCCGGTCCACATTTGTCCAGGGCCTCATATCTGTTGAATGTGGTCACCTGGTGGGGTGAGGAAGGGTTCTCCTGCCATCTCAAACAGGGACCCATTTCCATTACTATTCATCACTGGTACTGTTAATTCYACCCTCTACCCACCTATGGCAAGAGGGTAGTGGATCCTCAGATCAAATTGGAAGGGTTCTCCGGTGCACTTCCTGAGAAGACTGTAGAACAAGAAGTATCTTGTTCTACAATCTACAATTTTCAATCACTCTTGATTCTTTGAAGTTTCTGTTTGCTCTCTACTTATACTGGAACTGTAAAGAAAAGGAGCACTGACTATATTCAGCTACAACTTGTTTAGAATTGTTTTTGCTTTGATGAGTTGATATATTCCCTTGCTAGTTTTCAAGATGATCATTTTGCAAGAAAATGTTTCATCTTGTTTATGAGATAAATGAAAAATAAATGTTACATAACTAGGTGAATTAGCAGAATCCATGCCGTAAAATAAATACACTATATTTATCTTGGTGTTTTTACCCTACTAAATCACAGGTCTTGGATGCTTATTAGCTTTTGCTAGAGTATATCTAACATAACAAAGATTTCAAGGCTATGGGGAACACAGAGAGAATTACAGTACTCTGAGTGCTTTATAAGAACTATGGAGAAGAACGCTTGGTATATTTGAAAACTTTGAAGAGATATTTAAGATCATTTCACAATGCTTAGGAAAATATCTTTGTGACATTTCACTCCATCCAAATTGGTTAAAATATTGGTTATCAGGGTGATGCAGCAGTGCAATTACACTTGCTTTGTTTCCATGGGAAACGACGTCAATAGTTCCCAGATAGAACAGGCTGGATAACAGAACACTATCTGTTTCTGACACCTTGACAACTACAGAGATTAATTCTGAGTGAGTTATGTTTTTAAATTACAGCTATGTTTTCACATAATAGTTATTTCAAGTACCATCACACAATCTTATTTAGATCTGCAAATGTCACACAATAGGTCATCTTGTGAAGTGAACTGTGGCAAGAATACAGGGAATAAGAGGGGAGGTGGAGGTAGAAGGTAATATATACCATTATTTCTCTAATTTGGAAGCACAGTCTTGGCAATGAATGTTGAAGATTCATACTGAAGATTCATACTCCCAAACATTCTCACTCTGACACAGTTCTCTGGATTTGTGGAAATACAGTCATTCATTTTTACCAACATCTTGCTGTTTGTCCTTCCCTTCTCATTCATGTTCTTGCACTTTTCTCTTTGTGCCCAATCACTTTTCTATTTGGTTTGTAAATAGAAATAACAGTTATTTATTAAGAATATTATTATTTGTTCAGAAATGCATTTTCTTCTACCTTACTGACCAGTAGTCTCAAAATTAATTCAGTTTCTCTCTTCCCCTAAGTGTCAAAACTGCTGCTGTCTGAATCAGAGGGGAACCACTCTCGCTGTAAGTGTCCTCCTTCAGGGCATTATACAGCTGCATTCCTCTACACAAACACAATATAAGAAAACAAAAACAATATTTATTCTAAATGCAGTTTAATATTGCAAAGTATTATATACTGTCACAAATATTCCGTATACAAACTTCAACTGAGAAGAGARGAAAACTTAAATACTATTTAATTTTTTCTGTCAGTTGGATAAGTGTTTACCATCAGTGAGAGCTGAATATCTTTTCTTAAATATATATAAATAATTGAAGGAAAGAAGTATAGATGTCACACAGCAATAGACAGAATCTACATTATACCCAAAACGCACTATTCCATTAGTTAAGCTAAAATACTAACCGACCCTAAGGACTGGGGAACCAGTCAYGTTCTCTCAATCTGTGAGGAAACATGCTGGGACTTAAAACCAGATGGGTGCAAACACATCACATACACTCCAATAAAATATGCCTACTTGTGCACATGTCTATCCATCTGTAGGATCAGGGCAGTATGCAACCACCTCTGTATTCCTGGATATAGACCACCCAAAGTATGGTCCTTGAGGCTGTGAATCTGGTAAAAGCTATGTGCTTTTCTTTTTTTGGAAAAAAAAAAAAAAAAAAGAAGAAAAGAAGAAAAAAATGGGTTTTGTCAGAAGGGTTTCATTAAAATTAAAATATCATAAAGTGCCATAGCTACATCAGAAAATGGTAGACTGCTGGTACAGTGAAATATTCCTAAACTGTTCAAGAGAGGAGCTCTGCATATCAGATAGTGATGTTCATTCACAGAATCTGTTATTAGAAGTACAAAGGTTAGAGGTTAGTTTATAAAGATACAGAAGATGCTTCTCACCTTGTACACACATTCATTCACATCTACAATAGCTGAATATGCTACTGCCACCCCTTAAACTCTAAGAATCTCATTTTTGTGAGCAGTTAGATTCTGCACAGCAGAAGACAGCAGTTGACAKTGGGTTCAATACAGCCCTTTAAATGAGAGCTTGCTTTCAAGCTAAACATTAAGTAGGAAGATACTGTCATTTACAGCTACAGATATATCAGCAGTTACTAACTTTCTAATCAATATTCAAAATAACTTATTTACCATAACATAACCATTTAGTAAAAAAATGTTGACAAAATCTACTAGAAGTAGGGCGTGTCAGGTGATAGCAAACTTAGCCAGGTTCCAGCCAGCATCCCCATCAGCATAAAGATATAATTATAAGACTTTAAATACCTGAGCAGTGTTTGAAACTGAGTTTTCCATAATTAGGAAAAGAGGAATAGAAAGGAAAAAGGGCTTGTGTTTCAAAGAGTAACAAATACTACCGTATGAATTGTTAAAAGTCCCATACAAAAGTTACATGAGTGAGTGTCCAAAAACCATGTTTCTATCACACAAACTTTCAGCAGTGGTATAAATCTTCATTGCTCCACTGAAATTAAAAATTATGGTTGCTTTTTTGATCTGATAGCCACTTCATAAAATGCAAAGATTTCAAGAAGCTAGTGGTCTACTTACCTACCTGCTTTGAACCTCCACAAAAGACAGCTACATTTCCCACTAACAAGTTTGCTTTAAGTATAACAGCACTTTCTCTCAATTCTTGTTTTTGAGCATAAATATGAATATAAAAGTTATCTGAGAGRTTTTATAATGCTTGGAAACTAATTCACCCCAAAGTTCTTGTTAAAAATCATTTTCCTAAATGTGTTTTTTATAGAGTATATTTTCACATGGATAAAAACCATGAGACTTCCCAGCAAAGAAGAAAGCAAATGGTATGTCCTGGCCTTGTGTCCAAGCAGGAAACATCACTTATTACTAAAACCGCACATCCAAGCCCTTAGCCCACTTACAATTCTGGCAGCAGGTAAATGCCATCAGATGTTGCTTTCACTTAAACTGCAGCTATCAGCATACGCAGTTGCAAACATTTAAAACACACACCTGCATTTTACATTATTCTGTAAACCAATCTAGCATAAAGAGTTTACAAGACCCACAATCATGCCTGAATATCAACCCCAAAGTATAACTATAAAACAAAATGGATCTAGATATCCTTTATCTGTACAAAGCAGGCTGAAAACAAATTAAATGTTCTGTATCCACTCTTTTGCATACACTTTGTAATAGTGTAGGACTGAATTTACTAATCTGAAATACTTATGTATTTTTATTGTTGTGGTTGGTTTTGGTTTGTTGTTTTTTTGTTTTTTTTTTTTTTCCCCTAAATTCACTATCGGAACCCTAAATTATTGTTTCTGTGTCCTTCCAAAGCTCTACATGGAAATTAACACTCACCAATTAGGCATACAGTGAGGCACCTAGGAGTTTCTACAGCTTAACTACACTGTCAGTCTATGCTGATCTCAGCTCTACCGGCTTCCGTGGGAACTTCAAGAACAAATTCAAGCACAAATGTGCCTGCAGAGGTAGACAGGAGCTTCGATAACATTTCTGTGAGAGAGAAATACGTAGCATACGGGTGTCCACAAATCAGTGGAAATACAGAAACATTCAAAAACCCTGAATAGTTACTCATATTTASTTTTAGGGTCTGATTTTTCCATTAACTATATCTGAATTTACACAGCCTACCTGCACTGAGTCCATTTATCCAATAACTTACAGTCACTTTGCAGAGGTCTCCTGCTGTACTTGGGGAAACAGCCACAGGCTCCTGAGCCTGAGTAATGCATGTGATGCACAGCAGACTTCCCTGTGCTGAACAACCACGGGCTGGAAGGAATGTGAGCCTATGGCACACTCTTGTGGACATCCACAGAGTTGGAAGGACACACAGATGGAATAGCGGCATCTCTAACCTGTTTCTTTGTAAAAGAAGGCTCCAGATGTGACCTACTGCAGAAAACCTTCTTGACTCTTGTATTTGGAAAGATCTTTTAACAAGAGAAATGCTACATTAAAAACAGAGTGCAAAACAGAGGCAGTCAGAGCAGATAAAGTTCTACCTCAGCATTCCAGAACCTCCACCTCCCCACCTCCTCTCACCTCTTCCCAGAAAGGGGAAAGGACACACTTGCCACCTGTTACTATGACATGTGGGAGTGCAGCATATCTTGAGAAGAAGATAAAATATAACCTTATTCATTTATCATTAATGAGTACTGTCTGTGCTGGAATGTAAGTTGAAAATCCATGCCATTCCATGGCCGCATTCAGGTGACCTTCACTGGYGACTTCTTGTGTGCGCAGAGGAGGGTGACATATGGGACACCAATGAATGCCCATCTCTCACTGGGCCAGAACTTTATCACAGGGCCCTGCTCAGGGATCTCAGAGGCAGCGTCGAAATAAGCAAAACAAACACAGCCCAGGTAAGCTGCAAGGCAAATCAAGATGTGCCTGAGGAGACAGAAAGAACCCCCAACAAAAAGAAAAAAATCAGTAACATGATTTCAGGAAAGGGAGTAAATACATCTTCATGCTCTAAAACAACCCATCTTTCATCTGCTTTTCCTCAGTCTCACATAGAGCCTGCTGTCTGTCCTCTCCTTTGTGGGCCAGCAAAGAACACAAAGAACAAGACAAAGTATAAAACTGTTTAGTTTATCTTGGTGTAAACTGACTGCAGCTTTTTGGTCTCGGTGCACCTGACAGAGTTGTGTAGAAAGGCTGAGATACAGCAGCCTTGGATGGTAACAAGCTCTTCAATGCTCTTCCTTCACCCTCAGCTGTCAACAGTGGAAGTTTAAGTTTTCATAAACACTGTTTAGAGGATTTTTAGTAACCAGTAAGTTTAAAAATTCAGTTGTAATAATGAACTTACCATCTGACTCATCTGATTAGGTCAAGGAACTTCCTACATCTACCACCTTTGATAGGGTGAGACTTACTCCAGGTTTACAAGCTTATCAGTAAACCTACATAGCATTGACCAGAAGTAGCCATTTGAAGCCTATATGCAGAGCCTAGAAAGGTATGGTGGTGAAGACCTGTCACATGTGAATGAATCAGCAGAGTTTATGCAGAACACTTACCATACACAGTGCAGATAGGGGAAGTTGAAAGAGGACCAGATCTCACAAAATGCTTTGTCGCTGATCCAGCAGAAAAGTGCTAGCATCCACCAAAGGCCTGAAAAGAGACCCAGCTTGTACACACGCAGATTTTCACATCTGAGGAGAAAAACACAAGGAAGCTGTTGTAAAACAAACAAACAAACAAAAAATGGTTTGTAAAAGTGCGGTTCAGCTGTGCATATTTTAAGGAYAGGATTCAGCATGTCAGGCATACGTTGTTAAAATGGTCCCACCATAAACATCCTGAAGACAAGARGTTTCACAGTAAATAAGATACTGATGCAAAGCAATGTTCTAGTCACAAAAGTAAGCTTTTACTTGGCAGCTCCACTTTGGGTATTGTCTTAAATACCACTGTGCCTACACTGGATAAACACTCATATAGCCCCATACCAAGGGAAAATCCAGAAGAACTAGTAGTTAAACATACTGCCAGGTAACAAACAGCCACTCAACAAGTGCTCTAAGTTGTTCATAGTCCCTCTTGCATTAAGTTCTCATTACATAAAGGTGAGTTTAAAAAAAAAAAAAAAAAGAACTGGCTGGGATTTTTATTTCCTTGTTTGTTTTCTTCATGTTAGCAATGTACAACATTGCTCAGGAGAACTACTTAGGTAGGAGCTGCTACCCAAAGACCTAGGCAAGCACACATTAGTAGATGGTGTGAACTTTTAAGTCTCAGACAGAATTCCTCGCTTAGCAGTCTTCCTCCTCCACAAGAAATCTGACCTTTTTTCCCAGGGTTACTGTAGAGAGAAAAAGCAGCCAACACTGGATATTCTCATACGCAGCGTGGCCTGCAGCAGGTCATCACTGAGCACAATGAAAATGCCCAGGCACGTGCATAGCATTACCTGTGACTGAGGGTCTACTGAAACACAGATTTTATACGTCTATGTGACGCTCTGTTCTTCTCCACATCTTGGACTATTCTATAAACTGTGCAGCTTTTCTCAAAGGAGTGAAATCACATGGGAAAACAAAAACAAACAAACAAAAACATAATCTTCATGTTCCTAAATGCTGCATAAGTCAATGTTTTGCTGCCTACCTATACTTGCTATTTTGGATTTAGACCTCTCCGTGCCAGTAAATGCAGTTCTGCTGTTACTGGTATCCATAAAGCAATGCTAGCCCAGGATATGACTAGTTCTGTGTGGGCAGGGAGAAAGCAGGCTCAGCTTTCCTGTCTTYTGCAAGAACAAAAACTGTGATTTGGGATTTTTTCTAAGTTAGTGAACTTCCCAGGGACCCAACCCTTACAGCACTGTAAGCAATTCCTACTTCAACAAGCTGTCCAAACTTAATCMGAGAACAAGGTTAATTTGTTTGAGATGATTTGTCTGAACTATTTCTCAAGTGAAAACCAACGAATCAGTTCTTCAGCTAGTACAAGCAATACTCAGCTCCATGAGGATTCTTCATTAGGAGGTCTTCTGTTTCTACATGCTAAAGGGAAAGTAATGGACACCAAGTAACCCACACATYCTTCCTTTGGAAGAAGGTCCTCAACAGAGGTCCATGTACTCCGTGCTGACCCATGCAGTCCTAGGCCCCACCAGCAAGTTCTTGAGGATAAATCCATGCCTCTCTTCTCCCACAGATCGAGCACAGCCCTCCCCTCTGCGCTGCAGACCCAACCCAACCATCTCTGTACATTTGACTTTGAATCACCAGTCCTCCTGTGCAATCCTGGGACTCACTTGGTCTAGGAGGTGTGCAAAGCTTAGCACAGAGACCCCTCAGAGGGACATCTAAGCTGGTAAAKTTCAGATGCACATTCTTACATAGATCAGTATGTGTACAAATAGCTGAGCACTTCTTTATTGCATGCCCTGCCACAGCATTTATGTTCCCTGATCATCCCTGATCATCAATCTGTCACTTACTAGGTGAGTGACATCTTCTCATAGCATAGTGCAGCACAGACAAAAAGTTCTTTGGTCTTTCCTTCTTGCACATGGGCATTTATCTTGCACATTTATCAGCCTGAAATCTGTCATTCTGGTTTGATACATTCACAGATTATTTACTTTTCCAATATTAGCTGCTAATTATCTCCAGGATCACATGCTGCCTAAAATCCACAGGCAACTCTGCATTTAATATTAATGAAGTCGTAACACCAGCCCCATCCAAGCAAAACTCTGCCATTAAACCTTTCCTCATGCATGAGACCTGCATCTCTGATGATTTAGCATCAATGCATGAAGACGTGGAGCAGGGAATGCTTCCTGCCCCTCTGCGGTGGAAAAGCAGAATTGCAACTGGTCCCAGAGAGTTACTGAAGGAGCCCAGACCAACATTCAGGGGAAGTAAAAACATACAAAAAATAATTCCGTCCAGGAGTACTTTTCTGAAGATGTTACAGTATCACCAGCAGCAATGTCCCTGACTCTAGTGTACTGCAACCGTTTTCCTCGAAAACCTATAGGATTTTTTCACTCTTGAAGTGCTATTTCAGTTGACATTTCAGACAGGCATTTGGTATTAAGAAACTCCTAAGGCTCAGCAGGAGGCACCTTTATAGCCACTGGATTAATGACAGAAAAGCTACCCAATGCATAATCTTGTTGATGGGGGATTTTCTTCAGTGTCCTTCACACAAGTTGGTTTAGGGCCTGGCATTTCTTTTTTTAAGCCATCTATAAATAATCTGACATTCAGAATCATCACATCTATCATCATTAATTCAGAGAAGAGCTTCACAGCATATTGCTTGTTGTAATCTTCAYGAGAAAAATAACTGAACAGTTGTCTTCCTAAAAAAGACCCACACGACTACCACAAAAATTAATATTCCATGGAACATACAAATGAAAATGACTTTTTAAGCCTGAATTCTCTCCAATCCATGTAACAAATAACTCACACAGTCAGAGGAGGCAGGGCAGGCCCAAGATGGCTTCAAAACTGTCTACAATCCTTGCTTACTGTAAATAGGCCTTTTTTCCCCTCTTCTGAAATAGTGTSCTTATATTTAAAAGACTATAAAGAGTATGAAGAGAAGGGCAAGGTAACTTTTAAGTTGTCTATGATGTTCCAGAGCWGAGCTACAGGAATTCTTCTTTACATGCCTTTTGAGACACATTAGTAGAAATATATCCAAAAAATGGCACATTTTTACCAGTAAAGTTAAATTGATAAATTTTCTTCATCTAGGTCGCACTTCTCCAAATAGCTGTAGATAGTATAAGAGAGGGGGAAAAAAAAAGTCATTACACATATAGGGCTTAATTCTCTCCCTTTAATGTTGGAATGACTTCCACTTTTTAAAGGACACACAGCAGTTTAAAAGAGCAAAAATCCCTGCACAGAAAACTCGGTCTGTGTTTGCATGGCTCAACTTTGTGCATGGTAAAAACAGACTGGTATGCTGAGTGCTTGTGCATTCTGACCACAAAAAAAGTTGTATGTTCAGACACGGAGCCTTTCTGGATCTATCTGAAAGAAATGAGAGACTCATGTAACCGTATCCCACTTAAGATAAGAGGCTTGGCCTCAAACATCCAGCTCCTTCAGCGACCATGCCGATCAACATCCGATTAGTCYGAATGCTGAAAGAAGATGACAAGTAAGGCACACAGTTCAAAGAGTTCCAAGCAGCAGAAGAAAGCTGAAAACTTATTAACAGAAAGCTTCTCACCACAAGGTCAGTCAAGAAAACAATGCAGGTAAGGACAGGTTTGCACAGTATTTATGTTGCAACAAGAATTGCAACTCGTTTTCTGTAAACTGCAAACCAGATGCTGCACAGTGTATTGCAGAACAGTAGTCAGGGTAGCAACATTCAAGCAGGAAGAGGAAAGCAGTGTCTGCTAAGCTGGGTGATACTCCTGCGCTTTCTGTAATCACCTTGAACTCCTGCAGTGGCAGATCAGAGCTCTGCATGATGTGGGAGATGCATTTCCAGCTAGCTATCATAAGCACTAAATCCAGATCTACTCTGTCATCACAAAATTGCTTAAGAATCTCAGAAGGCAATCCTGCATTCAGGAAAAACATACCCACCTCTTTAACTCAGCAATGAGCAAGGCTGTGCACGGAATACCCAAAGTCATTAGTGAKATGTTGTTGATAGCAGGCTTGATGAAGGCAAGACAGGTAGTAACTCCAGAGAGCACACCAACAGCAGCTTTAAAACGGCTCCTAAATTTGAGAGAAGGAAAAAATGCTTAGAATTCAAATTTTATTTAGTAAAAAACATGAAATAAAAATGAAATAAAAAAAAGATAAAATAAAAATAAAACAAATCAAATGATGTTAATAAGTTAATAATGTTGCAAAGCGTAGGTTTAGGCCTGAGGGCAATGCACATAGGGTAGCTGTGGATTCCACACTGCCTTGTATATGCAAGGAGGGCTGATCAAATGCACTCACCCTCACGGGATGCAGAGTCCTGAGGCAGACGTCTGCATGTACACAGGCACACACACACACACAAACAGTCAAACACACACAAACACACACAAATCACGAGTTTCAGATCCCAGTGGGGCCCTGCTCCAACCTTCCTCCTGCCACAACAAACCATGACGGAACCCAGCTCAGCATGTGGCATTGCACCTCTCCAGAGCAATGCTGTGTGACCCCTTCTTCGCGCTTTTAATATTGATTTGGGGCACACATTTTGTTATCCTTAACACCTTCTTCAGTCGTGCTACAGTTTGCGTTTTGTTTCTGTTAAGCCTTAAAGATTAGTGAAAACTACAAGGTAAAAAAGAACATTTTCTTCTAACCAAATGCATTTTTTAAAAGATTGTATTTTGGTATATTGTAAAGGACCACTTGTGAATTAATCTCATGTTTGACAACACTTAACCTTCCAGATAGTTTCATATTTTAAACATCCTGTTTCCGGTCCGTGGCAGGACTGGGGAGGCAACAAGAGAATTTTCAGTCACAGAATATTTCTTACATACTTGAAAGAAACAATCCAGTGCAATGGCATGCCATGGGAATATACACACACAGGGCTGGAATCTGCTCAAGGCTTTAGGAAAAGCAGCACATCAGCTGCAGCCATGGCCCAGGAACGGCCCTGTAGCCACGTCTGGGACCCCTTCCCTCCACTTTTCTGGTCTGGAACCAGAGAGAGCCCTGGCAGAAGAGGCACAACCAGCATTTTATACTGAGCAGTTACCTGTGCTGCAGGAAGCCCCTGCTTCCCAACTCAGACTATGTTCTGGTTAAAAAAGCGCCAATCCTGCACCATAAAGACAATCACTGTGCTGCCCTAAACTAACCCACAGCTTTATAAAAACAGCTACTGCCCAAGGTGGAGTCTGCTCTAATTCCCCATCCAAAGCAGGATTTCCTGACCCCCAAAATCATCACTGTCATCTTCACCAAGCTCATTCCATCTGCCTTTTGCATTAAAGCTGCTTTTCCTGCTGGAAAGCAGGTCTCCAGCATTATGCTACGTAAGGAGAAAGCTCTGGATCTGAGRTAAATGTCTCAACAGCCTTAAAAAGCAAAAAGTGAATAAATTTGTTGTGGGTTAGGCATCCCCGATCAAATTCTTTCCTCTACATGTTTCAGAACCAAATCAAGAGCTTAAAATGTAACTGCCTTGACACATACTAGGCAAATTTATATGGCATGGTTCATCCCTTCTCATTCTTTTACTGGATCTGCTATATCCTGCGAGGTTTTTTATGACATATTTAAGACTAAGTTCAATAGAAACAGGATTTTACCCCCAAAAGTCTCTATTTTAATATAGAAACAGTCTAACATCTCAGCAATACTTTGAACCTATACAAAGAACACAAGAACAAGAACATTGTTCACAAGAACAGTGATAGACTACACAAAGTCTCTGTGTTTTTGAGGAATAACAATTACAGAAATTCTTTAAGAGACTAAACTGCCCTTTGCTTGAGCTAAGTATCAAGAAAGCCTTATCATCTATCAGAATACCCTACAAGAACGTGTGCTGATAGTGCCCTGTGTAAGCACTGTGCTGCAAAGCGCAGAGTAGCCAGCTCTCACCAGAAAGCTGTGAGGTTGCACACACTGTGCATGGTAGCACGTGGTGTGTTTCTTCTCAGGGCAGCTCTGAGGAAAGGGCAATCTAGCCACCTGCCCCAGGAACTTCTAATCAGACACACAACAAAAGGAAACAAAGGGAAAAAACAGAAGATAACAATATGAGAAAGGAAGAGAGGACTGTTTTCAGAGCACTGGGCATTCATGTTGCCATTCAAACCTCTGCATTACCTCATCTGTCAGGCTATGTCATGTGAAAGGCCTGTGTGAACACATTTGTGGCCATAGACTATACAGATCCTTTAAACTGGTTCCATGTTTGCGTTTCTAACCCCTCATGAAACAATAATAAAAAAAAAATTACAGCAACAATTAACTTATAAACAAACACCCACTTAGTTTTTGAATTAGAAATGCACTTAACCACTGCCTTATATATTGAGATGAATATTCAGTTGACTTCTGTAGGCCTTATCCTATGCATACTTCATCTTATACAGATGCGGGTGGGAAGCATGGTTTCCATTATCTACTTCTAGCCATAGATTTTACAAACTACTCATTCAACAGCCATTTTAGAATCAATACCAAAAAACAGGTACTCCAGAGGCAGTCTATCTCATTCCAAGACCTGAAGTTACAAAACACATCAGGAACTGAAGAAGCAGGATTTCTATATCCTGATGGGCCCAATATATAAACGGTAGGAAGAGACTGAAGTGAGAAAACGTAGCAGGAGTTGTTAGACTAGGTGATCGCCCACCATCACCACATGCACACTTGGGTGTTAGTGCAATACGTTTCAGGAGGCAGGGAAGTGAACCACGTTCCATACATTACCTATCATTCCGGAAAACTCTTGGCAGGTATCTCCTGGGGAACCACATGGCAAGAGCACACATCAGAACCCAGAGAATAGCCAGCTCATCCAGCATCTGGCCCAGGAAACTCAGCGTGGCGTGGAAGTAAACAGACCCAATCCCTGGAAAGAGGCAACCACAGACAACCTGAGCAGTTAAAGTGCTATACAGACTGAAACGCGTCCTTGTGACCTGGACCAAGTAACAGGCAGTGCACACTATTTGGCCTAGAGAAGGTTTAAGAAAAAGTAATCCTGACCATTCCAAGAAGGAAATGGAAATTATCAGCACATTAGTTTAATCACAAAACACATTGTAAATGCAAGAGCTGAAGATGTATCTTCCACTAGCAAAGTAGACGTACGTGAAMAATATCTAGTAGTGAAATTTAATGCAAAAACAGAACAAGAAATAACACTCAAATGCTTCTTCTGAAATTGCTCACGCGCACATGCACTGGTAACTCAAAGAAAGGAAGACGAGTAGGCCAAGATACGATCATGTTCGTAAGTGGAAGGTGAGATAGTGCCCCACAGGGATCCAAACAGCCCTGTAAAGCTCCCATCTTCTCTGGACATTAACATGCTTAAGAGCCTTTCTCCTACGGCGTGGGGAGGCATGCGGCTCCATCACTGCAAAGCCCCAGAACAATTCACAGTGCTGCTCTCCTCTTCAGCTGCGCCCGGCACTTGCTGCAGGAACGGCGCCGGAGGAAGGAGGGTCAGCAGTCCTCTCGAGTTAGCCCAGATAAACACAAGCAGTTATGCAAAGGAAGGATGGGAAGGGAACAGGGCTAGGGGCAGTGTTCCCAGCAACCCGAAACGTCCAAGGGCGTTTTCCTGCCGGAGAGGACAAGCGTCTCAGCTTCAGGCAAGTACAAGCAGACCCCGCAACAGACGTCAGGGTTGCTTTGTTTTGCAGAAACAATCAAGTGCAAGCAGGAAAAACTGATTTCCTCTCTTTTTCAGTTCGTGCATGAGCAGATAAACACGGACTTACCAACCACAACTAGGAGGGTCCATATCAGATATATTCCACTGTTGAAGCAGGTTGCGTATTGACGGAATAAACACATACATATGGGCGGTAGAACAAAAAACAGGACGTTGCTTATCTAGGAAAAATAAAATAGAATGCATCAAATACAGGCAGAAAATAAAACAGACCTTTAAAATTTATAGGCTAAAACATCTACAAATGTTTTTTTTCAGTCAGTGAAGCCACAGCTTATCAAAGTACAACCCTCAGTTTCTGTCAAAGCTCAATTCTTTTTACAAAGCATTAGCATGTTTTGCTTAATAACATTAAATTAATAACAGTGTAAGGACTGAGAGCAGTGTAAAATGTGCTTGTCACATTATCTTTCAAATCTTTTCCCAAAGGAAATCTACTGTGAGTCTACAAATACCCAAGCAATTGCAATTCAGGAAGTATGAAGCAGCAAACAGACCGGGAACAAGGAGTCCCACCATGTGAACTCCCTCCTCAGAGGCTGTCTCGAAAGCCCAGCACGAAAATACACTGAAGTTATGGGCACCAGACAGGGCCCATCAAGTTTTGCTGAGGTCAAGCAGCCCCTGGGCTGGCAGGTCTGAAACACAGGTCAGGTAAAAAGGAAACCCTTTACCTTTTTGTGCAGGGTAAAGAAAGCATGAAGTTGTAAGTCCTTCTACATTCTTTTCCTCTTGGTTTTTCATTACAGAAATGTCTAGAGAATTGAAGGACAGTGACTGCATGACTGAAAACTACAGGACTGAAAAGCTACRGGAGTATGAAGCTTCAGGAAGTTACAAAAGTAGGAAGTATGAAAATACTGATCACAGAACGACAGAATCTCAGAACCACAGATTCACAGAATGGTTGAGGTTGGAAGGGACCTCTAGAGATCATCTAGTCCAACCTTCCTGCACAGCAGGGGCACCCAGAGCAYGGGGCACAGGGCGGCATCCAGGCGGGTTGGGAAGAATAATTAACAATTGACACCATTTCTAACTTTCTTTTTTTTTAACATATATGAGTTTAATAAAGACATATTTTCTCTTATTTGTCAACAATCCAAAAGCATAGTTCTCTCTTTAGGTTTTGAAAAAGAAAGAAAGCAAGAAAGAAAAGCTTTATAGGTGATTAGCATTAGCAGCCCCTATACGGAACACGTGGTTCTTTGGGAATGAACTACCCATGCCGAGAGCCTGCGTTGCTCTGGTTCAGCTGGGCAGTTTGGGAAAGACACCGTCCTCACGTCCCAGCAGAGCAGGGGAAAGGGGGAATCCYCCTGCTTGCCTTGCTCACATTCCCCACGCCTGGCCTGTGAGGACAGCAGCCCAATAACGTTCCCCTAAGAGGAATAACGTTCCCCTAAGAGTGCCCCTATGAGAACAACAGCCCCAATAATGTTCCCTTAAGACAGGTTTACAACAACCCCGGGAATAGCAGAGATCCAGAAGAACTGATCTCCTGTTCTTAGGGGCTTGCAAACCTAGACATGATACCAACAGTCTGGTGAGGAAATGGTTCAGGTACGGCAAATAAAGGTGTTTACTCCCTCAACTGCTGTTGCCCACCTCTCTGCACAATCTGAGCCAATCTGAGAACAAAGTTTACCAGGATGAAAACGGACACATCTTAATTAACATTTACACAACTCATCAACACACACTCCTAGGAGAGTATTCAAAATGACAAGAATTACAGCAGCATTTTCTCAGCACCATCTAGTTCGTGAACAACACCTTCCCTCACATGAAAGGTATATCCTCATAKATGAGATGTGTTTCCTTCAAAAGACTTGGCTTTCAAATGCCATTAAAGTAAAAGTCTTAGAAAGAGCTACTGCCTTGCTCAGTTTAATGCTATAAATACCTTGCAAGTAACTACCAAAAGATCCCTGGTAACAGCATCCAGCCCACATAGAGACTGGCTCACGCAAAGGAGTTCACTGATGCCTTCAGCACTATTCTTTAAAAAGAGAGAGTAAAATGAATACACTAAGACAGAAACTTGGCAAAATCCTTCTCTCTGCCCAGGCCAGATCAGCCACTAGGCAACCGGCATGGGGAGGCTTTTGTACTGACAGGGACACCCATCTTGCCCCTCTGACATTGCATCAAAACCACATCTGTTGCAGTCTGTGCTACCAGTTCTACCCCTGTGTATTAACCACCTGATAAGTACAAGTATTTGCACCACTGCTGGCACCAGGTTTTCTGAAAGCTGAGGAAGAGAGCAGGGAGAACGGAGGCAGCAGAGGAAAACGGGGGCTCCTGGAGAGTCCCGCTCTCCTGCCACAGCTCATCCGCAGGGGAGGCTCCCAGGAGGGCGGGAGGCACTGGGTCTCTGTGCACATGAGAAGTCCCCATGCTCCTTGGGAAAGGTCTTGCCAGGAGAGGCCCCTTCTGCTCCCTCCGTGCCACGCTTCCCAAGCGCTGCAAAGGTCCATCTCCTTGGCCAGCGAGCAGCTCCTGCTTGCTCTTCTATCCACAGGACCCATGCTGTTCTGTCCTCACAGACCCACGCAATGTCCTASGGGGCATTCACATGACCCAGCTTTGGATACTCGGCTCATTCCGCCTGTTTCCCAACACCCTCCATACACTGTTGTTATGCTACACCAGTCTGCAGAGGGAGCGAGCTCCTCCAGAGAACACAGCCCTGCTGGTTCTAGCCAAGCTTCTTCACAGAATTGTCCCCCGATGTGTGTGTCCTCCTTTCCTCTACACGGCTAAAGAGACAGCAAAACAGCCTCGTAAACGAGATTTCAGGAAGTTGTGGAGAGTGTCACCCGACGGACCGTTTGCACACCAAGCATCCCTTCAGAAGGACTCTGCTTCTGGAATTCCGTCAAGCTACCAAGGCAGCAAATTCAGTCTTTGTAGTCCACAAATAAAGAGAGTGGGAGGTTGTCAATGCCACCCAGAAAAGCCAGAGCACGGGRCGCATCATCTCCCTGAGGAGCTCCATGAACAGCAAAGAGTTATTCCTATGGACTTGTACTAAAGCAGGCTTTAAGATTCAGACTGATTTGCAGGAGGTCTATTAAAACAACTTTTATGTTCTGCCTAACATCTGTATCATCTTCTATTCCACTCCCCACCCCAAAGAAAAAAAGAAAAAAAAWCAGAGTCTAGGGGACACTCACGGATCAGAACCTGTTGTGACATGTACTTTTCCAAGCACGCTCAGAAGGCTCCTTCTGACTCCAAAACAAGCCGAAAACGCAGTTAATAACCCTCCATTAACAAGTCCTCTTGGACCTTGGCGTGCTTAAAAAGATATATTTCACCACAGTGAGGACAGAGAGAGGTGGAAAGGAAAGGAAAGGAAAGGAAAGGAAAGGAAAGGAAAGGAAAGGAAAGGAAAGGAAAGGAAAGGAAAGGAAAGGAAAGGAAAGGAAAGGA